ACAGAAACTGCTTGCCGACGTACCGGATGACTTGGCAGCAATCCTGAAGCGGTACAGCGAGATATTTCCAGACGACCTGCCGACGGGACTGCCACCTCAGCGACCGCACGACCACAGGATAGAATTAGAACCGGGAGCACAGCCGACAGTACAGCGACAGTTCCGACTGACCCAACCCGAACTGGACGAACTGAGGAAGCAGCTCGATTACCTGCTCGAGAAGGAGTTCATTCGCCCTAGTTCGTCACCCTTCGCCGCACCGATACTGTTCACCCCGAAGAAGGACAGAGGGTTTCGCATGTGCATTGACTACAGAGCACTGAACAGGGTTACCATCAAGTTGCGATACCCCATCCCGCGAGCCGACGAACTGATCGATCAACTGCGCACAGCCCGGGTTTTCTCGAAAATCGACCTTAGAGGGGGTTACCACCAGATTCGCGTCAATCCGCCCGACTGCCCTAAGACCGCATTTCGCACCCGCTACGGATCCTTCGAATACACCGTCATGCCCTTCGGACTGACCAACGCCCCCGCCACTTTCCAAATGACGATGAACGAGGCGTTTCGCCCGCTTTTAGATAAGTGCGTCATCGTCTACTTAGATGGCATACTGGTTTATAGCCCCGACGGAGCACAGCACCTACGGGACATCGAAGCAGTTTTTAAAATACTGAGTGAGAACCGCCTACTGACGAAAGCGTCTAAGTGTGAGTTTCTACAGGACAGACTGGAGTTTTTAGGTCACATTATTTCAGCCGACGGAGTGGAAATAGACCCGAAGAAGATCGCGACGATTCAGGCTTGGCACGCGCCTACGAATCTGACTGAGCTGCAGAGTTTCTAAGGGTTCGTCAACTACGTGCGTCGGTTCGTCCCCGACATGGCGAAGCTGACCGCCCCGCAGACCGACTTGCTGAGGAAGGGGGTTGAGTACACGTGGGGGGAGAAAGAGCAAGCTGCCTTCTCGGCCCTCAAGAAAATTTTGTGCTCGCCGCCCGTGCTTCACATCGCAGATCCGCACCGACCGTTCGAGCTCGTCACCGACGCAAGTGACATCGCTGTGGGAGCAGTACTGTTGCAGGATTTCGGGAACGGCCTCCAGCCAATCGCGTACGAGTCCCGCAAGCTGCACCCCCCTGAGTGCAACTACCCGATACACGACCGCGAGATGCTGGCGATCGTGCACGCGTTCAAGGTTTGGCGGTGTTACCTGACTGGCGCCGACGTGACAGTACGGACAGACCACCGATCACTACAGTACCTGCGCGCCCAACCGAATCTCAATCCGCGACAGATCCGCTGGTTGGACTACCTCGAGTCCAACTTCCACTACACGGTTACGTACAAAAAAGGCGCATCCAACATCGCCGACGCACTCACCCGCCCTACCGCCCAACTCCATGCCATCCTACTCGCCCAGACCAACCCGCTTTTAACAGGCCTATTCACCCACGGATACCGCACCGACCCATTCTTCACGACTGGAAATTCAGAGCAACTGGCAGAAGCTAAGGGAGTGTATTACGTAAAAACAGGCACCAACCGCATCTGGGTACCCGCGTACTCACTACTGAGGGAGCTGCTACTGCAGGAGGCACACGACGGAATTACCTCGGGACATTTTGGGGTAGAAAAAACGCGACAGCAACTGCAGCGGTATTACTACTGGCCGGAGCTGTTGACCGACGTGCAGAAGCACGTGGGCTCGTGCCCCACGTGTCAGGTGATGAAAAGCTCGAGGAAGCGGAAGGCGGGTCAGTTGCAGCCGATACCACCGCCCGAGCGCGCCTGGCAGCAGGTTACCATGGATTTCGTTACAGGGTTACCTTCGAACCCTGGGGGTAACGACGCAATAATGGTCGTCGTTGACAGGTTGACGAAGATGGCACACTTCGCTGCGTGCAAAAAGTCGATCTCAGCCGAGGAAACCGCTCGCCTGTTCATCGCAGCCGTTGTCCGCCTGCACGGGATTCCATCAGCGATTATCAGCGACAGGGATACGAAATTCACCAGCAACTTCTGGAGGAACTTGTGGGAGCAGTTCGGGACCAGGCTACAGTTCAGTTCGTCGTACCACCCTGAGACCGACGGCCAAACGGAGCGGACGAATCAGACGATGGAGCAGTTGATTCGTGCCACGTGCGACGACCCCACCACTTGGGAGCAGCAGCTGCCGCTGATCGAGTTCGCGTACAACAACGCCACGTCAGCGACGACGCAGCAGTCCCCGTTTTACCTGAACTACGGGCAAAATCCAACAGTGCCCATGACGCCGAGTCCGGACAACCCCACGCCACGTGCATAGCAATTCGCCGAAACACTGCAAGCTGCCCGCACCAGCGCCGCAGAAGCAATTAAAAATGCCAATGTCATCGCTAAGCGCAACGCTGACCGCCACCGCCGCCCCGTTACATACCAGTCCAGAGACTACGTACTGCTCGACACGCAAAATTTGCGATTGCCCGACGTACCGAAATTGCGACCGCGCTACTGTGGACCATTCCAAATCAGCCACATGATTACGCCAGTGACCGCACATCTACTGTTGCCGACCGACTGGTACATCAGCCCATCATTCCACGTCAGCCTGCTTCGCCCATACATACCGACCACAAGCCAACTGCCGCGTCATCGCCCGCATTCAATGACCCGCCCTGCATCGGAGCCGATCATTGAGCCCGAAAAAATCCTAAGCCATCGGATTCGTCACTCCACTGGCATCGAGAGGATTGAATTCCTCGTTCGCTGGAAGGACCGCACGCCAACTGAAGATAGCTGGGTGCCCCTGCCCCTGGCCAACATCGAAAACCACCCTGCCCTGCAAGTGTACCTGAGTGTTAAGAAGGTAGGGACTAGGAACTTAGAGAGCTAGGAACTTAGGGTTTGGATGGAGAGAAGTTTGGCCAAAGGAAGGGGTTGGACTAGTGAGAGAGATACATGATATAGGGTTAGGGAAGGTGGTCAGGAGGGGTATACCACCAACAAGAGAATACATACTACACTAGCTATACTAATATGCAGTTATATAAAGAAATACAATTTCTGACATCCCCCCTTAACTGCATACAAGCATAGCTAATGAGAGGCGCTCTACCCTAAGTGCAGTCGTCACCGTGCCGCAGCTGGGCCCACCGATACAACACACGATGGAATGCCCGCCTGCGGTTTAACCCCCGCAGTGGATGCCCGGTGTGCGCGACTCTGGGTGACCACGCCCAGAAACGACTGAGAAAAGAACGAACCACGAGAAAACATTACGAAAGTAAAAAAACAGGAAAGAAGACACCCTTTCTCTCTCTCTCTCTCATTCTTCCCCCTTTTAACCTCTCTCATCCCCCCTTAACCTCTCTCATCCCCCTTACCCTCTCTCCCCCCCCCCCCCTACAGCAACAAGTGCTGCAGGGAGAGAGGAAGAGGGAAGGGAGGGAGGAGGTGCTGGCTCCTCACAACCTCACACCCGCCACCCCCACATCTCCCCCTCCTCCCCCCCTCCCCACGACGGAAGCAGTGGAAGGGAGGGCGGGCGGGAGGGGGCAGGGCGGCGGTAGCTGCTGCTGGCGCTGGCGGTAGCTGCTGCTGGCGCTGGCGGTAGCTGCTGCTGGCGCTGGCGGTAGCTGCTGCTGGCGCTGGCGCGGGCGGCTGGCGCTGGCGGTAGCTGCTGCTGGCGCTGGCGCGGGCGGCTGGCCGCGGTGGGGCGGCTGGCTGCTGCTGGCGCTGGCGGTAGCTGCTGCTGGCGCTGGCGGTGGCGGCTGGCCGCGGTGGTGGCGTCCGCGCTGACGGGCCACGCTGGCGGCGGCGCCTGCGGTCCGGGCTGGCGCGGGCGCTGGCGACGGAACGGGGGGCCGCGGGGCGTCGAAACGGGGGGCCGCGGGGGACGGGAATCGGGGCAGCGACGGGCACGACGGGCAACGCAGCGACGGGCGTGACGGGCAAGGCAGCGACGGGTGACGGGCGACGGGCGCAACGGGCGCGACGAGAAAAAATAGCGCATTTCGCGCTGTTGTACGGGCGGGCCCATAATTCTTAAAAAAAAAAGGAAGGTTCCGGGAAAGAACCTGCTCTGTACCATGTTAAGAAGGTAGGGACTAGGAACTTAGAGAGCTAGGAACTTAGGGTTTGGATGGAGAGAAGTTTGGCCAAAGGAAGGGGTTGGACTAGTGAGAGAGATACATGATATAGGGTTAGGGAAGGTGGTCAGGAGGGGTATACCACCAACAAGAGAATACATACTACACTAGCTATACTAATATGCAGTTATATAAAGAAATACAATTTCTAACACTGAGGAGCCGGGGATTCCGCGATATACACGCACTCGCGTAGCGGAGGGGGCTTCTTGAGGGGGGGGGTAGTGTAAGGAATTTTCTCGGCATTCCTTACGGAGTCCGGCTACATCGCGTACAGCACTGCCGTTGTTCGCCCGTTACTGCTAACAGGGCTTCGCCAACTTCGCGCGCACTGTTTTGCCAAACCTCGCACTGCTGGCCCGGCCGTGTCGGCCTACGCTTCGGGACTAGCCCGAGCCTCGCTGCCAGCGTAGCACTAGCTAGCTCGCACGCACCGCGTTACCGTTTGCATGTTTCGCGTATAAATGTTCGCTCATGCCTTCGCTCACATTTTGTACTCGTTTGACACTCTAGTGCAATCCTCGCTACCTAGATCCATTGCACCCGTAACAGAGAAGTAATTTTCCTTACGCTTTCCACCCTCTAAATAATACCTCTTTGTACTTGGGCGAATCTTGTAAGCGTAGCGTTACATCTGCAGTCAACTTGATCTGACGGCTCAGATTGTCACCGAGTGGTATGTCCCAGCCAGCCATTCCCGTCGGTTTCTCGCTAGGATTTCGCCAACCTAATTCCGGTAACTATTTGCCCATCCCACTCACAGTACAGCGCTTCGCAACAGCCTTTTGTTTCCCCAGCATGTCAGCTCTGCTGCTGGTAACCATCTGGAGCCAACGAGCCACAAGTGCTCCTGAAACGGGCAGCGATTTTATGCTTCGCGGGAATTCAAATCAAAGCCCTTTCGTTGAAGTTACTGTAGCAACGGAAGGTTTCGGCAGCTCTGCAGCGTGGCGCGCGAGAAAGGACCACATTTGGTTGGGGCCGCCTGAAATTTGGCACAAGTAGCGGCGCGATCTTCCAGACAGAAATCGCTTGCCTGTTTGTTGCGGCCGTTCGTGAAGCCCCAGCGGCATCCACCCACATCTACTCACCAGCCCTGAGACATAGCACTACATTCCTTCAAGCGCTCGTGCCAAAAGCTCGGCACAGCACATAGTGACACCAGTACATAGTTTCAACTATTCTTCAGCATGACAGTGGTTACCACCAGGTCGCCTGAGGTTAGCGGCACTTCTGCGTTTTCGCGATCGTCCACGGCATGGGATAACCGATTGAAGGCTTTCGTTTACATTCTCGCAGCGGGCTGCATCGCCGTCGCGCTCTGGTTCGCCTCGTTTGAAGCCGCCACGCTCCTTTTGCATCCCAGAATTGATGCCTCACGATATTTCGGGGTTCACATACTCCGTTTCACGCGAGAATCGCGGCGGATTTCAGGGGGAAGACGGGTAGAAACAGCGGGTACAGACTGGCGGCCAATTCCAGACCGACACGTGGCGGAGAAGGCAGTAACCATGTCCGTGCTGTCGCTGCCGCATAATCCGCTCACGAACCGCAAGAGAACAGCCAAGCTAGCTCTGCTGTTTCTAACGGATCAGGGCCTCTTGCCCCTAAAGCGCGTATGGGATCGGTTTTTTCAGGCGGAGCTCAAGGGTTCCGTAGAGCGCGAGGGCGACAACAGCAAATTCTCCGTCTACGTGCACTCGGGCGGTACCGGCATGCGCTATAACGCGGACGAGGGCCGGTTCCTTAAGCGAAACGACATCCCCAGCCTTCCGGTGAGTGGGCGCGGTTGGAGCCTTGCAAGGGAGCTGATTGAGAGGCGAGCGCGCCCAAGTGCGGAGGATGGGCGGGGGTCGGAGTGGCTGGGGTCGTGCCTCCCCTGTCGACTCCGCCACCTGCAGAGAGTGGTTGGGTAGTTTTCCGCCGAGCACGCGCGGATTAGGGGGCGAATCGGTTTCCGCACCTGCGCTTGTTCATATTTTTCCTTACCTCTTCCTTCCGCTGTTTCGTCCTCCCCGTGCATCTTGTCCTTCGCTTCTCGCGCGTCCCTTCCTTCGCTTCTCGCGCGTCCCTTCCTTCGCTTCTCGCGAGTCCCTTCCTTCGCTTCTCGCGCGTCCCTTCCTTCGCTTCTCGCGCGTCCCTTCCTTCGCTTCTCGCGCGTCCCTTCCTTCGCTTCTCGCGAGTCCATTCCTTCGTTTCTCGCGCGTCCCTTCCTTCTTTTCTCGCGCGTCCCTTCCGCCCCACGCGTCGCTCGCTCCCCACTGGTCCCATGCTCCTCGTGCCTTGCTTCCTCCCTGCGCGTTCCGCCGCGCACGTCGCTTTCTCCACGCGTGTCGCTCGTTGCCGCGTCTCTATTTCTCATCGTCGTCTCATCTCCCGTTTCTTGTATTGGGTCCGCCTCATCCGCTTTCTCTCCCCATCTTCCAATCACCCATCACCCAACCACCCCATCGCCCCCCATTCCCCCATCACCCCATCCCCCCATCCCACCACCACAATGTGGCAGGCGCAAGAGGGCTCCATAACAACGGTAGACGCGCAGAGGCGGCTGCTGGCATGGGCGCTATTGGACCGCGACAACCACTTCTTCCTCTTCCTCCACCACACGTGCGCTCCCTCGCCCTTGCCTCCCTGCCCTTCATTCCCTGCTCTACCCTCCCTGCCCTTCATTCCCTGCCTTTCATTCCCTGCCCATCCCACCCAACCCTTCTCATCCTGCCCTTCCACCCACCTCGTCACTCGCACCTCTTCCTCCTCCCACGCGGCATCCCCCGCCTCCTGCTCCGCGCCCTCTCTCGCGTTTCCGCCTCGGCCCCGTCCTCGTCGCTGCTTTCACCGACCATGTCGACGGGCCTGCCCACCATGTGTACCCGCCCGTGCCGATCGCCACTCGCGTTCCGCTCCCCGCAATCACACGGTCAGAAAGGGCAGACGATTGCACGCCACGGCGCGCCAGCCGCTGCAGCGCCACGGGCGCTCAAACTTTACTCACCTCCCTTCTCCCTCTCCCCTTCCCTCTTTCCGTCTTCTCCCGGCCGTCCCTCACGGCAGCGCCATACCCATCCAGAGCTTCAGCCGCATCTACTCGTCGCTGCTGCACTCGCGCCACTCCTTCGTCGCCATGTGAGTCGCCGCGTCGCCCTCTTCACAATCCTAGTCGCCGCCTCGTACTCTTCACGCACGAGGTTCTCCTAGCTCTTGTAATCGTTGCGTGAGGCTCGCATTTCTCCAAGTCGTCTCGTCAGTCCCGCAGCCTCTCAGAAGGACGAGGGGCGCACCTTGTGGGCGCGTGAGTGGCGTGCTGGTACCCTCCCGCGCCTTGCCTACACTTCCGCGGCACATAACTCACTTCCCTCCCCATTCGTCCCGCGTGCCCTCCACCCCCCTTTCCCTCTGCGCGTGCAACCCGCCTCTCCCTACCATCCCGCCAGGGCGGACGATCCGACGGCCTATCCGCGCGGGCTGGCGCCGCTGGTTCCGCAGCACAAGTTCGCGCGGAGCTCCAAGGTACTTCTATAGAGCGCGTTGGGTGGTGGGGAGTGGTTCTGGGGGACAAATGCTTGCTTCTTTCTTCGCCCTCTGCACCACTCGATCTCTGCTTTCCTGCGTGTGTACCATCCACTCTCCGCCACTCATCCTGTCACCCTTCCGTGCTTGTGTGCGTGGCAGTGGGTGGCGGTGAACCGAGCGCATGCAACGGCCATCGTGGCGGACTGCATGTTCTACCGCGCCTTCAAGCTGCACTGCCCTGTACGCTCCCTCCCCCCGCTCACCCTCTCCCTCTGCCTATCCCTCTCCCTCTTCCTCTCGCTCTAACTCTCCCTCGTCTCTCGCCCCTCTCTCCTCTACCCTCCCCCTTCTTCCCACCCCTCTCTCCTTTCCTTCCCGCTTCCCTTTCACCCTCCTCAACCCCCTCTCTCCTCTCCCATCTCCTCTCATCATCGTCACTCAAAATCATTCTTGTCTTCCCCCACCTCCGTCACCGCCTGCCCTCCTCATGCCTCCTGTATGTATCTCCTCACGCCAACCACCCAGCTTCTCACCCTCTGATCCCTCTCCTCCCTCCCACCTCTCCTCTCCGCCCACCCTTCCGGCCACCGTGCAACGTCACCAGGGCACAGCAGCAGCATGGAACGCCACCAAGAATGGGGCGCCCTCTGCGTCCTCACCAGCAGCACGCCCACCAGCATGCCGGCCAGACGAGCATTACATCGCCACTTTCCTCAGGGTAGGCCCACCTTCTCCCTTCCTTCCCCTTCTCCCTCCCGACGCTCCCCCATCTCATGTCTCTCTTGTTCTCCACTCTCTTCCCTCCAGTTTTCCCCCTCCGCTCGTGTCCCCCGTCCTCCGTTTTACCCCTCCTTTTGCATACCCACCCTTGCCTCCTACAGCCAACGCCTTCACTTGACCAGAGTCCAGTTGCGGTGGAGGGGACGCCTTGCTTATCCATCCGGTTTTCCCCGTCCTCCCCCTCCCCGGTACCCCTCGCCCATGTGATCACACCAGACAGTGGACCCCGATGGAGTGGCCAACTTCACCATCACCCACGAGCCCCACATGACCGCTGCTGCTGCTGCGCACGCTCGCATGCGCGCAGAGGCACTGCAGCGCATGCGCAAGCGGCGGCGGCAGCAGCGGCGAGAGGAGGGCGACATAAGGCGCGCAGGAGCAGCAGAGGGGCAGGGAGGGGATGGTGGGTTGTGGCAGGGGTGGAGGGAGATGCTTGAGCGGGTGGGGGAGTGGGAGGAGGCGGAGTACGGTGCTGTGAACATCACTTCTAGATTCATCCAGGACATGCAGGAGGCAACAACATATCTCCATAAAACTCCAGATTCTGTTATTGTAAGTTGACTCAACCTTACGGTACCTTTTCCACCAGCGTCGTGCTCAGACCACTGTTCAGCATTTTTCCTCTTCAGAAACATCTTGGCTGGCATGCAGTATTTATTTGCCGTCATGCATTCATGTTCACCATCATGCTCAGTTGATGTCAAGTTCCGCTGTTTTGAATACTCCTGCAGAGCCCCACAACCTGTCGATGGAATGGTCAGCCCAAACCATGCTTCATGTTTGCTCGGCCATTTCGACCAGACTCTGCAGATGAGATAATGAGCATTTTACCAAATGTCCTCCATTATTGAAAAAATATCCATGCATTGTTGCCCTCTGCAGATTTGCAGGCAAACATACGGTAGTTATTCTTAGGGTTAGGTTGTTTGCTCCCTCTCTATCGTCATGCAAGTATGACATAACTTCAATAGTATGTTCGTCTTGTATAGCGTGGTTCTATATGTGAAGCTTTTATGCATGTCATGATCTTTTTCATGATGCAACCTCTTGCTTTGAAACGAAAACAACGTTTTATGCATGGAGTTCTTGAAGAAAGGGTGTGTTATGAGTTGTACTAGAAGAGTGCGCGGAAGACTTTATAAAAGAGATGAGAATTACAGCATGACGAGAATGATAAAGAGACGAGCATTTATAGGGTCGAAACCGTGCTAGGCGAGGACCTCGATGTGCGTGGCTCGGGAATGTCGCAATTGGTGCGGGCCGGCTCGGGGCTGGTTCGGTGCGAAAGTGTAGGCCGAGCCACACTGACGCGAACTGCTCGGGGCTGTCCTCACTAAGGACAGTTCTACAGTAGTAATGATTTTCACATTCATTACACTCTCCCACCTTCTAAAGAAGGCGTCTTATACGTAAACGAGTCTGGCAGTAGCGTGAAAACTGCAGATCTCGGTCGAAAACCGATCTGACGGTGCGGAAGCGTGTTGACTTTCGAGTTGACGCGTGGCTGAGCGCGTTGACCAGGCGAAATTCTGAGTTAGGATGTCAGCCGTTGATTCTGCCGATGTCGATCGGGCGATTGAAGGCGAATGACGAGTTGAAAATCTTTCGACGAAAGAGAACCGTCGATGTAGATCGTGCGGTGGTGACGCTGGCGATGCTGGCGAAAGTTCTGACACGCTGTCAGATGTCAGTGAATCGGGAGTCGTCGATGCCGATGAAGCCATCGCAAGCGTCCGTCGTGCCGGATTGTCAGACGAAGCTGTCAGGAAACTGACAAGCACAGAGCGAGAATCACTCTCCCTCCCCCCCCCCCCCCCTTTGAAGAAAAGGGTAGACCGTACTGTAAGACAGCTGCGCGGGCAGAAACTCCAGAAATCCCATCTGCCGGGGGGGTAACCCGCAATACCAAGTGTGATGAACCCCTTCGAAAGTTTTGCAGCTGCACTGTCGAAAAGTAGCTGGTGGCGAAAAACATTGTCTTGACCTGTTAGAATTTTTCTGGGTAACCCGCGAAGTCCATTTTAGAGGGTAAGGCGTTGAGCACCGGGACTCGAAACCCTTTGAAAATTTATTTCCCTGCAGAAAACATTCTTCTTGTCGTGTAGGTGCGACTGCGGCTGCAGCATTTCCAGCGGCTGCCACCCCAAATCCCGTGTGGTACGGTAGTGTCAATCAATTTACTGCTGCCGAATCTCCAGCTGTCAGCTGCTGCAATCCGAAATTGCTGCTGTTTTTTGTCGTGTTGCTGTTGCGAAATCCTAGCTGTAGCTGCTCCAGCTGTCGGTGCCCCCGGCAGTCTTGTCCAGACTCGCCGAGGCCCTTGTCGTGTTGCTCCGAAAACTCCCGGGCAGAGGCGAAAACAGCTGCTGCTCTTCCCCCTGACTGCCTGTAATATTTTTTCAAAGCCGAACTTGAACTGTCGATGACGTCGGCTACTCTGGCGACGTTGTCGTTACTTGCCGAAGACTTCGGGGCAGAGGCGAAAAACTCTCCTTCCTCCCCCCACCTGTTGCGACAATTTTCACCTGTGTTGCGGCTGGTACCCCCGAACAGCTTCCGAATGTACGGCTACAAATTTGATGACGAGTGCCTTCGCGCGCTTAATCAAGCGACGCTGGAGTCGGCCGTCGGCACGGATACTGTCAGCGATCCCGCTGACTCCGTTAAAACTCTTCCCGGAGCTGCTCGTTGCACCCGAAGATGTCGGTTAACACACCCCGTAAAATCTTGGTCGTCTGCAGGTTGTCCCCTTGAAGTATACCGTAAAACGCAGAAAACCGCTGGCGAGCAGACGTTCACCCGTCTCCCACCGTAGGAAAGAAACCCCGAAAATCATGGTTGTTGAAGCAGTCCCGAAGTATTTTCCGCCGCGTAACCCCGACGTTTCCGCCGTTAACCCTGGTACTCCGACGTTCACCCGTCTTCGCACCCGTCGAAATTACTTAGCGAATCCCAGGTATCCTTGGCGATACACCGCTCGCCGCGCCTCCATGTAATTATATCAAACCCTTTCGGGGGTCTACCGAATAGACCCCGAAATTCGCGGTAGATTGGTGTACGAGCTCCACCTTTCACTCTGGAGATCTGCTGGAGCACCCACAAATTTCCCTCCATTTGTTTTTGTCTTCACCCCCCGACAATTTCGCTTGCCGCCGTTCACCCAGCGTCCGCTTTTGTCGGATGAGGTATAACTCCGTGTTGCCCGCGATTTTTCTGACATCGGTGAAGGCGCGAATGCTATCGTAACCGGATCAGGTTTATCGGATCAAACCGTCGGGCCGGCCGCTTCGTTTGCCCACCGCGTCTTATCGCTTTTAAAATTCCACAGCTTTGTCGCCCCCGTCTTCGCCGCTACACCGCCGCTGGGTAGACCGGTAAATTAGGAGAAATTCCCGACAGCTGCCACAATTTCTTCAGTCCCGACATTTTCGGCAGGGTAACTGTCGCCGATGGTCCGTTTTTGTCGGGGCCGAAACAGTGCCGCATCCTTCAATTTTTTTCTTGAACGCCTGCCGTCGAACCAGCGTCACCCGCGCCTTTCTAACCAGCACAGGGCTAAACACAGGGCCCCACCTTTGGATCCAGTGGCTCTTTGGTCTTACCATTGCCTTCGAGACCGTCTGGGCGTGGGGTATGCGAAACGTCGGTGGACTTTGGCCGGTAGGGAGCTCCTTCTGCTACCGCCGCTTAGCCGCAAAACTCGGCCTCAGCAAAAAGTCGTCGCAGTAGGTCGTTTTCTCCCCTCCTGAAGCTCGGAATCCGTTTCTCTCGCCAGACCCGTATTTGTCGCAACTCCGTATATTGTAGCCGGTAGACTAGGCGAAATTCGCGTGTCTAGACGCTGCGCCAAAACGTTGTCCTGTCGGTGTACTGCCCCGTCTGCAGCACAACTTCCCTTGATCAGGGGGAACCTGTGCCGCCTGAAGTACAGTGTCGGCTGCTGCTGTTGCTCCGAAAATTTCGGCCGACGTTGTTGCAGGCGCAGAAGTGACCCTAACGAAAACAGTCTAGTCGTAGGCGGCCTTTTCCGTGTCAGAATATTATGCTCTAGCCTGTAGTGGGGTGCTCTATAGCGAGTACAACCCTTCTAGGGTTTGCTATTTGTATCCCCATTCTTACTAGTGCAACCCCTCTTTGCCTAAACTTCTCTTGCCTAGCTAGGGTTCTCCTAGCTATGGCTCCTAACTATCTTTACTATCTTGACATGCTATCAGAGCAGGTCGATCCCTTTGGATCGATCCTGTGGGTGGGCTCACCACCTCGTTGCTTCCGCTGCAACTTCCGCTGCTACTCTATGTGCCGCACGCCCCGTGGCGTGCGGCAGTTTTTTCTTCCCGCCGTGCGCCCCGAGGCGCGCGGCGGTTTTCTGCCCGCCGTGCGCCCCGTGGCGCGCGGCGGTTCTCTGCCCGCTGTGCGCCCCGAGGCGCGCGGCGGGCTTCTGCCCCGTCACTCGACGCGTCGCCCCCGGGAGGCGTTGCGACGGGCGACGGGGACCCGCGCGTCGCCCCCCGTCGCCCGTCGTGGCCTGCGCGCGGCCCGTACAGCCGGCGTGCGGCCCGTACGGGCTGCGCCAGGCCTGCGCGCGGCCCGTACGGGCTGCGCCAGGCCCGCGCGCGGCCCGTACGGGAAGCGCCAGGCCCGCGCGCGGCTCGGGCCGCCTGCGCGCGGTTCGGGCGGCTATGCCAGGCCCGTGGGCGGCCCGTTCCTCGCTGCCCCTGCCCTCCCCACTGTCCCCCGTGCTTCTACTGGCGCCCCACCCCTCCTACAGCCCGTTCTCCTGAATTAGGGTTTGGGGGTGAGGGGTATGGGGGTGAAGCCACTGAGTGCCGTTCCCTGTTCCTCCTCCTCCTCCGTCTCCCTGTGCTGCAGCTGCCGCTGAGGGGGGGTGGACTTGTTGGAGCCGTTGGAGTGGTACTAAGGGGGGGTGAAGGGGGAGTGGAGCTAGCGGTGTAGCAGCGGGTGTGTGTCAGGGGGAGTGGGATAGTTTGGGGAGGTTGAAGGGGGTGGCCGCCGTGAAGCCAGCAGCTCCAGTCGCCCGTGAGACCGTTGCGCCAGTCGCCCGTGAGCCCGTTGCGCCAGTCGCCCGTGAGCCCGTTGCTCCAGTCGCCCGTGAGTCCGTTGCTCGTCTGCCGCTACTTTCAGCCGCGGAGCCAGTTACTCCAGTAGCCCGTGTGCCAGTTGCTCCAGTTGCCAGTGTGCCAGTTGCTCCAGTTGCCCGTGTGCCAGTTGCTCCAGTTGCGCCGTGTGCCAGCAGCTTCAGCTGCCGCCCACTACCTCCTCTCCTCTCATAGTCTCTTTCCTCCTCCTCACTTGCCCGTTGTGACTACCACTAGCTTTGCTCATAATTGTGAACTTTAAACTATTGCTTCTTGAACTTGTGCTCAGAATGTGTGGTGACATTGTGATCCACCCTGAGCTTGTACTGCTTTGCTTGCTCTGCTGATTACACCCCACTTTGGCTATGGGGGTGTGTCAGAATATTATGCTCTAGCCTGTAGTGGGGTGCTCTATAGCAAGTACAACCCTTCTAGGGTTTGCTATTTGTATCCCCATTCTTACTAGTGCAACCTCTCTTTGCCTAAACTTCTCTTGCCTAGCTAGGGTTCTCCTAGCTATGGCTCCTAACTATCTTTACTATCTTGACATTCCGCACTTTTCGGTGGTTTGAAAATGACTTCCGTCCCACACTGTGCCGCTCCTGCCGAAAACGTCAGCGACGCACCCTCCTGTAGCCACACCGGCCACACCCGGGCTGAATGACGGTAGACCCCCGCTTTCTTCGGGTAATCCTCATGCCGTCACTCCGCGCCGTTGCATTTTCTGACGCAAATCACCATGCGCCTGGCTGCTCGCACAGCAGTCGTTTTCCACGTGCTGCTACCCGAAATCTTCGCGCACAGTGACCACGATCGTCACTTGCCGAAGACCTCCAACGGACTGGTGCGCAACGTGACGAAGACGCTCGACGTCACGTACTGCATGCAATCCGCTCCGAAATTGTCGCGCGCAGTTGTCGACCACACGCCGTCGCAACTCGCACGACGATCTTGTTTCCGACATCTTCGGACGTGCAGTGACGGAAATCCTGTCGACGTCAGCTGCCACACAAATTAACTCCGAGAATGCCGAAACGAGTACTACGCATTAATTGCGACGACAGCAAAAGCTGTCCGCCACCCGGGGGGAGGGAGGCCACGGTCGATCTTGACCGTCGAGGGCAAGGATCCGTCGGTGCCGCAGGAGCGCAAGGGAAATCCATGGCCGCTAGGAGTAAATACCCGTTCTCCTGGCCGGCTACTGCGCTGCTCCTGTCACCACGGCATCCTTCCCTGTCCCCCCCCCCCCCCGAGGGGTAATACACTCTAAAAAACGGGGAACCTAGGAACTTAGGCTCTGATACCAAGTGTTATGAGTTGTACTAGAAGAGTGCGCGGAAGACTTTATAAAAGAGATGAGAATTACAACATGACGAGAATGATAAAGAGACGAGCATTTATAGGGTCGAAACCGTGCTAGGCGAGGACCTCGATGTGCGTGGCTCGGGAATGTCGCAATTGGTGCGGGGCGAACTGCTCGGGGCTGTCCTCGCTAAGGACAGTTCTACAGTAATGAATTTCACATTCATTACAGGGTGCGTTCATTCGTCATGGTTGGCAATTGTCAGGTGATATTTGCCTGGGAATGTTGTAATTGTACCTTACAGTCTTCTATTACATGTATGCATTTCATTACAGCAAAATGTGTTTCTATACTAAATTTTGAAGCTAGTGTATGTACAAACTCGAAATAGATTTCTAGGTACCGGTATGTCCATCTCCATCCCTTACCAAGCTCCTGTAGTCTCCCAGAGAATGTCAAGCCAACTTCGAGGGTGAAGCTGCTGCGGTGTTGTGAGATTTCCCTCCGCTCTTTGCTTTTTTCGCTGCTCCTGCGAGAAGTGCACCGCTGAGCTGTGCTGGGCTTCTTTGACATGACTACAGCCTGAGAGTTCGAATTCGCTGTGAGCCCAGGCTTGAAAACGGATAATGGACCTATTATCGCTACCGACTGCACGGCCTGACGCTATCGCTAGACGAGAACCAGCTGTTAGGATGACGCGACTGTTGCTCGCAACCAGAGCGACACGGGAGAGATTAAAACGCGAAGCATGTCGCATCAATGGCCTTCGAGCAATTTCTGGCGTCTTGTCCCGCGATAGTCGGATGACACGACAGGACGCAGTAATGCGTGGAGATCCGCATCGCCTTCCGTTCCGTAAATCTCGGGATCATTATCTTTTTTCGGATGACGTGACGGACGCCGTGCGATTTTGCTTGTCCTCGGAATTCCTGTTGCTGTGGAGCCGCGCCTTGGAATTTCAGTTCAGCCCGCTGAACTGGACCCCCGTGACCTTGAGCACGTGTCTCAACTACAAATAGACACCCTCGGTGGTCATTCAGTTCAGAACAACTCAGATTGCCATAAAACAAAAGTGCAAGTTGAATAAGCCTGGCATTCGAGCTTAATATCAGTCTGATTGAGCTCTTGGTCTCGGAGAACCGCCATGGCTCTCGCTGCATCGCCCAACATGCCTCTGCGGCTCGTCTGGTTGTTTCCGACGCTCTTTTTCACGCTGTTTCTCTCAGGTGAGGCTTAATCTGTAAAATGCACCAACTTCCACGGCACTTTACTATGGAATCAGACATGCAGTCCGTACTGCTTCGGTCTCATTTGCTTGTGTGTGTGCCATTGTCATATTTACTTCTTGGTTGGAGAACTTTTCTCACTCATGTATGGAGTCAAACATGCAATTCATTCTGCTTCCGGCGCTTCCACTTGCTTCGTGCAAGAAGTCATCATTCCGTAAGAGCTCTCCTCGTCTGCCTCTGAGACAACCTAAACACCTCTTCCCCCCCTGGTACCCCTGGCAGGGACATCCCTGGCTGTATCATCTCATGACAAGCCATTGGGGATAGCTGGCACGGCAAGTGAAGCCGCAGCGACTGAAGCTGCAGGCGACGCCATGGGCACCTCGTCGCTCGTGTTCCGCCATCGCAGCCTTCTGAGCTCCATCACACCACAGCCCTTGCCCGTTGACTCCCTCGCCTCTCTGCCCACTGCCACCAGCGTTGGCGGCGCTGGTGATATGGTTGCTGGCTATGGCAATGGTGGTGGGGATGGGTCCAATGGCGGTGGCAATGGTGGAGTTGGTGACATCTGGTCGCTTGTGACCTCCTGGCTCCACATGGGAGGTGCTGATGGGGGCAATGGCGATGGTGATGGTGATGGGGATGGTGGCAATGGCAATGGTAATGGCAACGGCTGCTGCTGCTGTTGCTGCGGCAACGGAAATGGCAATGGAAATGGCAACGGCAACGGTAACGGGAACGGGAACGGGAATGGCAACAGCATTGGGACTGGCAATGGCAATGGCTGCTGTTGCGGCAATGGCAACGGCAACGGGAATGGCAACGGCAACGGCAACGGGAATGGCAATGGCAACGGCAACGGCAACGGCAACGGCAACGGCAACGGCTGCTGCTGCTGCTGTTGCTGCTGCGGCAACGGAAATGGCAATGGGAATGGCAACGGCAACGGGAATGGGAACGGCAATGGGAATGGCAACGGCAATGGGAATGGCAATGGCAACGGCTGCTGCTGCGGCAATGGTAACGGCAACGGGAATGGGAATGGCAACGGCAACGGGAATGGCAACGGGAATGGCAACGGGAATGGCAATGGCAACGGCAACGGGAATGACAATGGCAACGGGAATGGCAATGGCAACGGCAACGGCAACGGCAACGGCAACGGCTGCTGCTGCTGCTGTTGCTGCTGCGGCAACGGAAATGGCAATGGGAATGGCAACGGCAACGGGAATGGGAACGGCAATGGGAATGGCAACGGCAATGGGAATGGCAATGGCAACGGCTGCTGCTGCGGCAATGGTAACGGCAACGGGAATGGGAATGGCAACGGCAACGGGAATGGCAACGGGAATGGCAATGGCAACGGCAACGGGAATGACAATGGCAACGGGAATGGCAATGGCAACGGCAACGGCAACGGCAACGGCAACGGCTGCTGCTGCTGTTGCTGCTGCGGCAACGGAAATGGCAATGGGAATGGCAACGGCAACGGGAATGGGAACGGCAATGGGAATGGCAACGGCAATGGGAATGGCAATGGCAACGGCTGCTGCTGCGGCAATGGTAACGGCAACGGGAATGGGAATGGCAACGGCAACGGGAATGGCAACGGGAATGGCAACGGGAATGGCAATGGCAACGGCAACGGGAATGACAATGGCAACGGGAATGGCAATGGCAACGGCAACGGCAACGGCAACGGCAACGGCTGCTGCTGCTGCTGTTGCTGCTGCGGCAACGGAAATGGCAATGGGAATGGCAACGGCAACGGGAATGGGAACGGCAATGGGAATGGCAACGGCAATGGGAATGGCAATGGCAACGGCTGCTGCTGCGGCAATGGTAACGGCAACGGGAATGGGAATGGCAACGGCAACGGGAATGGCAACGGGAATGGCAACGGGAATGGCAATGGCAACGGCAACGGGAATGACAATGGCAACGGGAATGGCAATGGCAACGGCAACGGCAACGGCAACGGCAACGGCAACGGCTGCTGCTGCTGTTGCTGCTGCGGCAACGGAAATGGCAATGGGAATGGCAACGGCAACGGGAATGGGAACGGCAATGGGAATGGCAACGGCAATGGGAATGGCAATGGCAACGGCTGCTGCTGCGGCAATGGTAACGGCAACGGGAATGGGAATGGCAACGGCAACGGGAATGGCAACGGGAATGGCAACGGGAATGGCAATGGCAACGGCAACGGGAATGACAATGGCAACGGGAATGGCAATGGCAACGGCAACGGCAACGGCAACGGCAACGGCTGCTGCTGCTGCTGTTGCTGCTGCGGCAACGGAAATGGCAATGGGAATGGCAACGGCAACGGGAATGGGAACGGCAATGGGAATGGCAACGGCAATGGGAATGGCAATGGCAACGGCTGCTGCTGCGGCAATGGTAACGGCAACGGGAATGGGAATGGCAACGGCAACGGGAATGGCAACGGGAATGGCAACGGGAATGGCAATGGCAACGGCAACGGGAATGACAATGGCAACGGGAATGGCAATGGCAACGGCAACGGCAACGGCAACGGCAACGGCAACGGCTGCTGCTGCTGTTGCTGCTGCGGCAACGGAAATGGCAATGGGAATGGCAACGGCAACGGGAATGGGAACGGCAATGGGAATGGCAACGGCAATGGGAATGGCAATGGCAACGGCTGCTGCTGCGGCAATGGTAACGGCAACGGGAATGGGAATGGCAACGGCAACGGGAATGGCAACGGGAATGGCAACGGGAATGGCAATGGCAACGGCAACGGGAATGACAATGGCAACGGGAATGGCAATGGCAACGGCAACGGCAACGGCAACGGCAACGGCTGCTGCTGCTGCTGTTGCTGCTGCGGCAACGGAAATGGCAATGGGAATGGCAACGGCAACGGGAATGGGAACGGCAATGGGAATGGCAACGGCAATGGGAATGGCAATGGCAACGGCTGCTGCTGCGGCAATGGTAACGGCAACGGGAATGGGAATGGCAACGGCAACGGGAATGGCAACGGGAATGGCAACGGGAATGGCAATGGCAACGGCAACGGGAATGACAATGGCAACGGGAATGGCAATGGCAACGGCAACGGCAACGGCAACGGCAACGGCTGCTGCTGCTGTTGCTGCTGCGGCAACGGAAATGGCAATGGGAATGGCAACGGCAACGGGAATGGGAACGGCAATGGGAATGGCAACGGCAATGGGAATGGCAATGGCAACGGCTGCTGCTGCGGCAATGGTAACGGCAACGGGAATGGGAATGGCAACGGCAACGGGAATGGCAACGGGAATGGCAACGGGAATGGCAATGGCAACGGCAACGGGAATGACAATGGCAACGGGAATGGCAATGGCAACGGCAACGGCAACGGCAACGGCCACGGCTGCTGCTGCTGCTGCTGCTGCGGCAACGGAAATGGCAATGAGAATGGCAACGGCAGCAGCAACGGGAACGGCAACGGGAATGGCAACGGGAATGGCAGCGGCAATGGGAATGGCAATGGCAACGGGAATGGCAATGGCAACGGCTGCTGCTGCGGCAATGGTAACGGCAACGGGAATGGCAATGGCAACGGCAACGGGAATGGCAACGGGAATGGCAATGGCAACGGCTGCTGCTGCGGCAATGGCAACGGCAACGGGAATGGCGATGGCAACGGCATCGGGAATGGCAACGGGAATGGCAATGGCAACGGCTGCTGCTGCGGCAATGGCAACGGCAACGGCAACGGCAATGGCAACGGCTGCTGCTGCTGTTGCTGCTGCGGCAACGGGAATGGCAATGGCAATGGGAATGGCAATGGCAATGGGAATAGTAATGGCAATGGCAATGGTGGTGGTGATGGTGGGTCTGGCATTCACGGCATCGGCTTCATTCAAAGCAAGTTCAGCGCTCACAGCAACAGCAGCAGTGCCAGCCGCGCCAGTCGTGCTAGCAGGGCCAGCAGGGCCAGCAGGGCACGTGCTAGTCGCCTCCCCTGACGAGAATCGCTGCTCTGATTGCGCTGTGGTTGCCCTTCGTTTCGCAGCATTTCTATTGTTATCCATGTGCATATAATGAAGGGTTTGAAGATCACACCAAACAGATTCAAATGTGCTCACATCACGCCCTGCATCTTTCAATTCCTCGTACTCCGATCTTCGTCCTTCTGTTGTGCATCAGTTGCGTTGGTCTTGGTAAGCTCCTGCGAGGGTGTGTTGGTTGGTTGCCGTGCAGGTGTGTTGCGTTGATTTGGTCGTTTCCGGTGCGGGTGTGGTGATTCGAGTCGTTCTATTGCTAAATTTAGGGTGGTTGTGTCGCATTGATTTGCCAGAGGGTGGGTGCGCTGCGCCGTATTGAATTGACTGAATCAAGGGTGCGTGTGTTGAATGGGGTCTGTGAGATGAGATCAAGTGTCGGTGTGGAAGTGTGCCGTACAGATACTCTAGAATCAAGGGTAGGTGCGTTGCGTCGACCTACCTTAACTGGTGGAAGAGCAGAGGTGAGCTCAAGGATGGGTGTGCTGCATGCTTCTCTGGTCAGGTGAACGATTACCTCAAACTGCTGCCCTCAATCTGCCCCACTCGGCCCTGCCATGCATATCCCCCTGCCCCGCATATCATGTGGCGTGCCCCGCCCTGCTGTGCTTATTGCTCTTCCCTGCCCTGCCTGCCGCCCTGCCCTGCAGATACTATCCTAGGCATCCCACCGCCCTGCCGTGCCCTGGGTGGGGAACAGGGTATGGGTGGAAAACAGTGATGTGAACATGACTTCAAGGTTGATGCGCGACATGCAGGTGTGGGGGATGGATGGGAGGTGTATGGAGTTTCTAAGAGAGGTGGTTGGATGAACTCTGAACATGCACCCATGCACCCATGCACCCATGCACCCATGCACCCATGCACCCATGCATCCGTGCAGCCATGCACCCATGCTCCCATGCATCCGTGCACCCATGCACCCATGCTCCCATGCATCCATGCACCCATGCCACCTATGCAACCAAGCAAAACTGCACCCATTAATCACCCATGAGCTGCCCATGCGTCTTTGCACCCATCTCATGAACCACCCACTGCATCCACCACCACTGCACGTGCCCCCGTGCCCGTCACCTCCCCATCTTGCTTCTCCAACTGTCTGTCACATCCCATCCCGTCTTGCTTCAACGCTTGCGTTCGGAATCCCATCCTGTCTTGCGCATTTCTCTGTTGTAAGTTCACCAGATGTCCATTCCGGCCAGCATTGTCAGTCCACTGTTTAGTGATCTGCCATTTGATTGTCAGGTGAAGATATTTTTGCCTGGAAGTGCCAAGTTCAATCCTTCACCTTGTTATGGTCACTCAGCAGATGTCAAGTTTTACTGTTTCAAACACTATTGCAGGTAACAAAGCAAGATACTTGCAGATCGCAAGCCCATGCCCAAGGTGGTCCTTGTGCGTAAATTGCACATGCTGCTGTTCCAGTCGAAGTTTGCATGCCATTTGTGTGGGATTTGCACGTCGCAAGCTTGCGACACATTTGCCCATACTAGCGACGATTGTTGTTTCGTAAAATTTAGTGAAGGACTCGACCTGCGTCGGCAAAAACATCACGGAAAAAAACACTTTCCACTTTCCAAAGTCAGCTACCGTAGATTTTTCTAGTGGACCCAACTAGAAGGGGGGGGGTCACTATTTTAGCTGCTGGCTTTAAGATTATGGTCTTTTTACGGTATTTGGCAGGTTTCTTTATAAAAGACCCAAAAATTGACTGCACTGCATTGTTCTATAGTGAAGAGTTGATTCATACTGGCTCTCTAAGAAACGATCTAATCTAGCGCAACACCAGGCTCCTTCTTGCCGTCATCGCATGGGGTTTGTTTCTGTGTCCTAAACAACAAGAGATTGATGGAAATAAGGCCTCCGCAGCCCACCTGTTCGACTTCGACAGCTCCGCAACTCTCGTCTGTCCTCGTCATCAGAGTCAGTGACGAGCTCGGCGGTCCTGGAAGTGGTCATGGCGCCAAATACGGTACAACTGATTGCACCATACCTTAGCATTCATATAAGAACAACTCAAGCTACACCGCAATATTCTTTGCATCTTCCTTCTCATCAGAGTCGGTAACGAGCTCGGCGGTCCTGGAAGTGGTCATGGCGCCAAATACGATACAACTGATTGCACCATACCTTAGCATTCATATAAGAACAACTCAAGCTACACCGCAATATTCTTTGCATCTTCCTTCTCATCAGAGTCGGTAACGAGCTCGGCGGTCCTGCAAGTGGTCATGGCGCCGAACACAGCAGCGCAGGTGAACCAGAGGAAGAGCGACGCCCAGCTCTGCGCCATGCTCACACTGCCGTAGTGCGGCTGTCCCGCATCCACCATCATCACCTGCATGACTGAGAACCCGTTCTGCACATCACGAGCAATGGCAATAAGGCAGAGAATGACAAGGAATTTGAGAAACTGCGTGAGTAGTGGAAAACATTCATCAGGAGCAGAAAAAGTAGTTCTGTCATTCCCCCTTTCCAACCCTCCTGCTCTTCTCCTCAAATCAGCATCTCTCACCACACCTACTACACAGCAGGGAGAGAAAGTGAGGGTCAGGTTCAGCGTTCCCAGCACAGCAGCAACAAGCTTGCTAACAAAGAGAGACCATTGCAACACTCCACACACGTGCCGAAGCCAGCATAGTAGGTGAACTTGCGAGCAGGATGTGGCATGTAACATGCCCATATGGTACAACATGGCTTCAGCATGCACACAGTGCGGTGCAGCAGCAACAAGCATGCTATCAGTGGCCAGCGGTGGGTGTCACACTCACCACGCACGTCCCGATGCCGGCATAGTAGGTGAACTTGCCGAGTAGAATGTGGTACGTGCCCATCTGGTACCGTGTTGCTTCCGACAGGTGGCTCTTGAACAGCACGAACGCACACAGGCCCCACATGAACTGCCGTGCAGGGAGAGGGGCAGCACGGCACACAGAATGGCGCACAGTGTGACATAACATACGCAGCATGATGTAACATACTCAGCATGCCATAACGCAGCATGACATGACATACACAGCATGACATGACATACGCAGCATGACATGACATACGCAGCATGACATGACATACGCAGCATGACATGACATACGCAGCATGACATGACATACGCAGCATGACATGACATACGCAGCATGACATGACATACGCAGCATGACATGACATACGCAGCATGACATGACATACGCAGCATGACATGACATACGCAGCATGACATGACATACGCAGCATGACATGACATACGCAGCATGACATGACATACGCAGCATGACATGACATACGCAGCATGACATGACATACGCAGCATGACATGACATACGCAGCATGACATGACATACGCAGCATGACATGACATACGCAGCATGACATGACATACGCAGCATGACATGACATACGCAGCATGACATGACATACGCAGCATGACATGACATACGCAGCATGACATGACATACGCAGCATGACATGACATACGCAGCATGACATGACATACGCAGCATGACATGACATACGCAGCATGACATGACATACGCAGCATGACATGACATACGCAGCATGACATGACATACGCAGCATGACATGACATACGCAGCATGACATGACATACGCAGCATGACATGACATACGCAGCATGACATGACATACGCAGCATGACATGACATACGCAGCATGACATGACATACGCAGCATGACATGACATACGCAGCATGACATGACATACGCAGCATGACATGACATACGCAGCATGACATGACATACGCAGCATGACATGACATACGCAGCATGACATGACATACGCAGCATGACATGACATACGCAGCATGACATGACATACGCAGCATGACATGACATACGCAGCATGACATGACATACGCAGCATGACATGACATACGCAGCATGACATGACATACGCAGCATGACATGACATACGCAGCATGACATGACATACGCAGCATGACATGACATACGCAGCATGACATGACATACGCAGCATGACATGACATACGCAGCATGACATGACATACGCAGCATGACATGACATACACAGCATGACATGACATACGCAGCATGACATGACATACACAGCATGACATGACATACGCAGCATGACATGACATACGCAGCATGACATGACATACGCAGCATGACATGACATACGCAGCATGACATGACATACGCAGCATGACATAACATACGCAGCATGACATGACATACACAGCATGACATGACATACACAGCATGACATGACATACACAGCATGACATGACATACGCAGCATGACGTCGCGGACTTCATGAAGACAACTCTTTCTGTTTCAGGGAGAAGTGGAAACCAATCTGCTCGTATCTCTTGCAATGATTATAAATGATAAAAGCAGATCAGACAAGAACACACCAGATCGGATCTTCTAGAAACCACAACACTCTGCTCTGTTTGCGCAGCATGGGATGGTGAATAATCGCATCCTTAATACACGCCACTCACCTGGACAGCAAAGAGTGCGAGAGTGAGCACGCCACAGTAGGTGTGCACGGAGTACATGTGCTTGTGCTTCGTCCCCTTGGAGGCAATGATAGCCGCCATCCCCACTGCCATCAGGATAAGTGCGATTGCCTGCCACGCCAGGTGCACCCACTTGGCATATCCGGTCGCCCTGTCGAGATGGGAAGCGACAGAAACGGTACAATCACAGTCACACGGGTTGAGCGAAGACTAAAAAGTCACCAGAACCAGCACAATTGCCTGCAACGCGAGGTGCACCCACTTGGCATACCCGGTCGCCCTGCAGTGACAGGGAGTGTCAGAAACAGTACAGTCACAGTCACACAGGTTGAGCGACGGTTGAAACGCCATCAGAATCAACACGATTGCCTGCCACGCCAGGTGCACCCACTTGGCATACCCGGTCTCCCTGCAATGATGGGAATCAACAGGACAATCACACGGGTTGCTATGACGCGCAGTTTAGTCACAGACGCACACAGAGAGTCATTGCATGATGGAAACTAGAAAGCCAGCAAGGTGGGAGACAGCAGGACGGAACGGCTTCTAAGCTTTCAGAATCAACCCACCAAGTTGTGGCAGAAAGCAAGAGAAGGGAGTGCGTGATGGGGACACGGAAACTGAACCGCAGGAGCAGCAGCACGTGCCATACTCTAGCCTTTGAAGGGTGGCCTGCTGAGTGGTGAGCTGGGTGGCCAACTAGCTGGGTACCGAAGAGAGGTGGAGCAGAGAGGATGTACTCTCAGTCATGGCGATGCCAAACACAACACCCATACGCTGCACGTGCCACACGCATACGCTGCACGTGCCACACCCATACGCTGCACGTGCCACACGCATACGCTGCACGTGCCACACCCATACGCTGCACGTGCCACACCCATACGCTGCACGTGCCCCACCCATACGCTGCACGTGCCACGCTGCACGTGCCACGGTACCTGAGGAGGAGGAGCAGAAGGCGAGAATGGCTTCGGTCATGGAGATACCAAACGCCATGGCGATACCAAACGCCATGGCCATGAGCAGCATGTGCCAGAGAAGAGCCGGGTACAGTGGGCAGCTAGTTTCCGTACCCCACGAGGGAAGGCATGGATGGGCTGTACCTGAGGGAGGAGGAGCAGAAGGCGAGGATGGATTCGGTCATGGCGATGCCGAAGGCAACACCCATGAGCAGCACGTGCCAGTTCCACCCGTTGTCACAGCTGAAGCACGCTGACAGCCCACCAGCCGTGGCGAGCCAGGGGGCCGTCTTGTCCTTGGAGAGGTGCGCGACGAAGGTGATGAGCAGCGCGAGGAAGACGAGCTCTAGCACGCGCGTGGACCATGAGAAGACGCGCACTGGCGCCGTGAGCGTGTGCGACCCCATGGGGACGAGGAACGAGGGCGACGGGAAACGGTGAGGGTGTGGCAGTGTTGGCTCACGAGGGAAGGCAGGGAATGCGGGGATGGCACGGTGGAGGAAGGACTAGAGAAGGTGGTAGTTTTACAACGAGAATGCCAATTTCGCGACAGTCCCTGATAGCGATTAAAGCTCGCGATTCTCCTCCGTTCCTTGCTCTCGAGATTGCTGCAAACGAGAGTGGATCAACGAGCTATTTGAGCTCTCGTTTCATCGCTCCAACTTGTACGGCTGAGTGTGTTCATTTCCCACCATCCCATCCCACCATTCCACTCGGCCTCAGCTCTCTCTCTCCGCACCTCTACTCTCAAGTTCCCTCTCCACGCTCGTCGTCTCGGCATTCATCATGCCACGTCACGACCGTAATCGTGCGGTCACAGCAGCCCTGTCGCGTCGTGTCGATCGTAAACGTGGGATGAGCGAGGAGGGGAGCTCGGATAGAGGCGGAAGAACGGCTGCGACAAACCATGCGCGCGACTCACCCGCGGTGAGACTGGGGGGTACGGTGTGAGGGAGCGAGGACGTTTTTGGAGTGGCGAAATACTTGCTCTGCGTATGGTGGTAACGGATTTCCTTTTCCAGTTATCTTTTTCTTCGGGACAATCTCAACCGTCCTGTGGGTCCGACAAGCCGTCGCCCGCAAGCCGCTGTGTTCCCTGCGCGCCTCCCCCTTGCGCAAATCCGTGTTCTCCATCACCCGTTCCCCGCACCTTTCCCCTCTCACCCCCCACCCCCTTTTTCCACCATGTGGCCGTTGTATTCTACGATGCTCCGCCTGGACGTTTATCGGCTGTTTCCACGTACCGCGCCGCACTTTTCTCGTCCTTCCGAATGATGTAAATGAGAATCGCCGCGGATCGGGAAGTGGCTCTTTTCCCTTTGGTGATGCTAATCCCGGAGGGAACTGTAACTGGCTTGCTACGAGCGGGGAAATCGAGGGAACAAGCGCCTCTAGCGGCTGATTTACAGGAACGAAATGGTTATGAGCGAAAGGTTGAGGTAGGACAAACAACAGGGTTGATTGCACGCATGTTTACTTCACGATGAATCTCATTAACAATGATCAGGAGATACACGTTGGAACAGACTTTTTACCAGCATAATAAATGATAGTTCCCCAGACTGTCCTGTTAAACATATATCACCAAGGGAATGTACCCCTTCTAATACATGGCTAGCTAGGTCAATTCGTATTCCCCTGTACTCATATTTATATTTCTTGTATTTGCATGTTTCAATCATCTCAAGCATTTTACATTCACTCTGCTATTGAGGTCAAGTCAAGGGCCCACAATCATTAATCAGACGTGTGCGAACCTTCCTGATGTGATTCTAGAGTTGATCAGTCTTTGATCGCAACAATTTCAACAGTATTTACATACATAACTCAACAATACAGCCAAGATAGAGATAATAATGCCAACCATATTCACAATTAATGCTAAGTGGGTGTCATAAGTAGGATACTTGAGCTTGACACAATAACATAACATACACTTCTTCGGTTCCTGTTGTAACGGAGCCGTATTCTTCGAACTGAAACAGAGGGTGAAGGAAGAATTTGGTGACTGGGCATCCTGCTCGATTCTGGGGTCCAGAAGTCCCTGCGGGGCAGGGGAATGAGCAAATCCTACGGCGCACTTTCCCCTTCATATGGAAATCGACGGAGATCGCTTTACATCGGCGAGTGCCTTGGGGCACACTTGGTGCCACCGTGGAATCAAACTATTGGTTGCACCGATCGTCGCGACATCTTCACGCGGATAATGTCCGACATCTCCATCGCCCCGGGATTCCCACATCTCGAGGCTGCATCAGATTCTGCGCTGGAGCTGCCTCTCTGAAACCCCATTTCTCCTCCACGACTGTGACTGGTTTGCAAGTGTACACTCCGCACACCTGCACTCCACGCACATCTGACACCATGGCTGCCACCGCTGCGTCCGCCAGCCTCAAGGCTTCCACGTTCGTGCAGCCTAAGATCAATGCCGCCTCCCTCAAGGCTGCTCCCGTCTCGCAGGCTTTCGGCCTGAAGACTGCCTCCGCCAAGGTGTCGTGCTCCGCGGAGGAGAATGTGCGCGGCTTCGTGCAGAAGTGCGCTGATGCCGGCAAGACCGCTGCCCTTGCCCTCGCCTCCACTGCCCTGGTCGCTTCGGTAAGCTAGATGAGCATCGACGGCAAAATTGTAGAACGATCGAAATCCCTTGTGATATGACAGCCTCGAGAATTTTAATTTGACGGGACGTCCCTTTTGAATCCGACCGTAGGCATGGTTGGCACTACTATAGCCATAGTTTTCCGTTTTTTCTCATCCTCTTTTCCTCCCCCTTTTTGTTCTTCGTGTCGTACAGTCTGCCCAGGCCGCCATCCCCAGGCTGACCTTCGACGAGCTCCAGAGCCTGACCTACTCCGAGGTGAAGGGCAGCGGCATCGCCAACCAGTGCCCCGTCATCGCCGGCGGTGTTGACGGCTTCGCCTTCAAGTCCGGCAAGTACCAGGTGACGAAGATGTGCCTGGAGCCCACCAACTTCACCGTGAAGGCTGAGTCGCAGTTCAAGGGCCAGGGCGAGGACTTCCAGAAGACCAAGCTCATGACCCGCCTCACCTACACCCTGGATGAGATCGAGGGTCCCCTGGAGGTGGACGGGAAGAACCTCAAGTTCACCGAGGTTGATGGCATTGACTACGCCGCCGTCACCGTCCAACTTGCCGGTGGCGAGAGGGTTCCCTTCCTGTTCACCGTCAAGGAGCTCGTTGCCACCGGTACCGCCGACAGCTTCGGTGGGTCGTTCCTCGTGCCGTCGTACCGTGGCGCCACCTTCCTTGACCCCAAGGGCCGCGGTGGCGCTCAGGGTTACGACACCGCCGTCGCTCTGCCCGCTGGTGGTTTCGGCGATGAGGACAAACTGCAGAAGGAGAACCAGAAGAGCTACAAGTCCCTGAGCGGCAACATCAAGTTCAGCGTTGCCAAGTCGAATGTTGAGACCGGAGAGATCGGCGGTGTGTTCACGAGCGTGCAGCCGTCCGACACAGACATGGGTGCCAAGGTCCCCAAGGATGTGAAGATCGAGGGCATCTGGTACGCCCAGCTTAACTAATTTTGCTTAGAGACCCGAGTTTATTCCCGCGTATTGTAAACGTCTTGTAAATCAAAAGCTGCATACACAGTTTTCCCTTACAACCGACTCAAATTCAACGAGTACTGTTCCAGTATTGATTTTAGGAGGCATAACAACACAGGTTAATGAGCAGGTATACCATTACGCGAAAACATCAATAGGACTTGCCTGATCCCTGCATATAGTTTCCCAGCAAAACCTTGCATCTCATAAATCTTCCACCAAGCCGTTCAGGATGCTAGCAACTCCCTTGAGTGAGAATTTCTTTTGGCAATCGACCAGGGCCTCAGATTCGTTTGAGGGTACCCTGTGGACTCAGGGCAGTTTTTCAGGATTCCTAATTTGTCCTGAAATGTCAGGACTGACCAAGGGTGGGTATGCTGTAGGGTCAGTGCTGCAAGTGACATTATCCTGCCCCGTCAGTGCTACATTTCATTTCATCCTATGCACTTTGTTAAAGGCTGGTTTGTGAACTTCTGCTGGTTGTGTCTGCATGCGGGTGTGGGTGGGTGAGATGAGAACAGTGTTTACAGGCTAGGAGGGAAGCACGTGATGCCAGCGTACAGCAAAGATGGCCGTGCGTTCCCTTCGTGTAAAGTGAGCGCGGCACACTCTCATTGGTCGTTATTACAGCAATGCAGGTTGCCACGGTGGGCGCGGCATGGTTCTGCGCCAGCAGAGGAAGCAAAGTCAAGGCGACAATTACGGTTGGGTACACTAGTGTCAAATGTTGTAGCCTATAGTGAGGTTTGTCTTAGGGGGTACAAAACTTAGGGTTAGCTATATGTACCCCAACCAACATCAATGCATCATCCATTCTTCATTCTGACATGGTATCAGTTAGGTTAGGATCCTGTGGGATCCCGTTCCGCCGTTCTCCGTTCGTACCACCCGAGCCTGATCCTAGCTCTCGTTCGTCTCCTTCTCGTTGTTACCGAGCCTAGCGCCGAGCCACGCTCTCGTTCGTATCGTTCCAGCTGTTACCGAGCCTAGCAACGACCCACGCTCTCGTTCGTAGCGTAGCCCGCCCCCCCGTCGCGTCGCCTTCCCCCCCCCCCCTCGAGACGCGCCCGTCCCTTTCCCCCTGTCGCGTCGCGCTCCCCCCGTCGCGTCGCGTCCGCTCCTTCCCCCCGTCGCGTCGCCTTCCCCCTGTCCCGTCGCGCCCGCCCCTTCCCCCCGTCGCTTCGCCCTCCCCCTGTCCCGTCGCACCCGCCTCTTTCCCCCCGTCGCGTCGCCCTCCCCCTGTCCCGTCGCTCCCGCCCTCTCCCCCCGTCGCGTCGCCCGTCCCGCAGCGCCCGCCACTGTCGCTCGCGACCGCGCTCGTCGCCGCCGCGCCTGCCGCCGTCGCCCGCCCCCTGCGCGCCTCGCCGCGGCCCCGCCGTCGTCGCCCGCCGCTGCGCGCGTCGCCGCTGCGCCCCCTGCCGTCGCCCGCTGCGCGCGCTGCTGGCCCCTGCTGCCGAGCGCGCTGCCATCGCCCGCCGCTGCGCCCGTTCCCGTTCCCCGCTGCTTAGTCCCCTGTTACCTCCCGCTGTCACGCCCGCTGTGGCGTCCGCTCCTCCCCTGTCCCAGAGTACCGCCGAACCCTAATTTGCCTCTCACCTACTGCTGTCCCCTCCCTCTCCGTTCGCGTTCGTTTTCACTATGGCGACTCAGCGCGTCCTTCGTTTCGACGCTGACGGTAGACCTCTTGATTTTTCCGTCTGGCTTCTTCGTGCTCGCCGTCTGTTAGAGAGTCAGGTCCAGGCAGGCGAGACCCTCTGGGCGCACGCTACTGGTGCCCTACCTGCGCCCCCCGACCCTACGCCTTTAGGACCTGCCCCTGACGACGCCGCTAGAGCCCGCTTTGCCACTCAGCGAGCTGACCAGACGGCTTGGACGTCACGTGACGCTGCGGCCTGCATCGCGCTCAGCAGCCTCCTCCCTGAGTCTGAGGAGGTTCACTTCACTCAGGTTCGCACCGCTGCTGCGTACCTCACTGCGATTAAGGCCCGCTACTCTACTCCCGCTGCTGTCTCTCTTGGCCGCCTGTTCCTCCCGTTCCTGTTTCCTGACCTAGCGTCTTTTGAGCGCTCTGCTGACTTGATCGCTCACCTCCGCTCGCTCGACGCTAGTTACCGCGCTGCTTGCACTGAGGCACAGCTTGCACTGCTTCCTCCCCCTATGGCGATTACTATCTATTTCATCGCCACTAGCCTCCCTGACCGCCTTGCCTCCGTTCGCGACGCGCTTCTGCTGAAGCACCCTAGTGAGCTCACCGTCGAGGTCCTTGAGTCTGCACTCAAGGACGTCGAGAGCAACCTTCGCTCGGTAGCCGCTGCCTCTGGTGCTGTGCCCCCCCCACTCTTCCACGGGTGCACAGTCCCGCAGTTACCCACCTTTACTGCCTCACTTGCCACTGCCGCTACTGACGCGACTGCAGCTGCTGTTACGACTGCGTCGCGGTCCCGCGGTAGGAGTGGCAAGAAAGGCGGTTCTGGTGGTGGTAGTGGAGGTGGAGGCGGAGGTAGTGGAGGTGGCGTTGCGCCTGGCGGCGGTGGAGGTTCAGGGCCTGGAGAGGCGCCTCGTGCAGTGACTGGTGACTCCACTGCGCCTGCTGGTGGTGGCGACGCCCGAGTTCGTCAGTCGCCTCCTGTACTTCCTGCCCCGGTTGGTGGAGCAGCGGCGTGGTACCAGGCTCAGCGTCAGCAGCAGCTTCTGCAGCACCAGCAGCCCCTCTCCTCCCAGCAGCCTCAGCAGCAGCAGCGGCAGCAGCTGGCTCCAGGGTCGGGGCTGCGTCAGACCCAGCGCGGTGCTGTTTACACTCCCTGCACCTACCAGGTTCTGACAGGCACTCGTCGTGGCCACCCTTGTGGCCGGTTTCACCCCCCTGGTCAGTGCTTTGCTCAGCTCACTGACACGGTTCGTTTGGTCTACGGGGTTGGTGCTCCTGCCCCTGACTGGCTGCCTCTTGTTCAGCGTTACGGCTCCGCTCTGTGGGGCATGTCTGCTGAGCAGTTAGTTGATCTGATTGGTAATCCCCATGCTATGTATGCTGTTGTTGACTCTAGTGTTTCTGACTCTGTTTACTCTGGTGTTGTTAGCTTAGGTGCTAGCCTTGCTCAGTTGCCTGTTGCTAGTGTAGGTTCTTGTGTAGACTCTAGTCCAGCGGCTACCTCAGAGGACGGTTCGCTGTCGTTCACGCTGGACTCTGGAGCCTCTCACTGCTTCTTTCGTGACAGCACGACACTTACGCCTCTTCCTGCGCCTGTTTCTGTGGCGCTGGCTGATCCCACTTCGGGACCAGTCACCGCGCGTCACACTACCACCTTGCCGTGTCCGGCTGCTCCTTCTGGGTCTCTCACTGGGTTTCACGTCCCCTCGTTCTCCCGGAACTTGGTGGGCGTGCGACCCCTCGTGAGTCAGCACGTGGGTGTGTGGTTTGAGCCTTCTGGAGAGACTGCGGTGTGTGTTGACGGGGACTCTTACCAGCCCCTCGCCACTTTTGCTGCTGAGCCGGGCTCCGGTCTCTACACTCTTCACACTGGCCCGCGCGCTCAGCAGCGACTGCAGCAGCAGCAGCAGCAGCAGCAGCAGCAGCAGCCGCAGCCGCAGCCACAGCCGCCCCTCCTGCCCCCGGCCCCTGTTTTGCCCCCCGTTCGAGTCCTCGCGTCTCACCAGGTTGCTCCGTCCCCCCAGGTAGCTGTGTCTTGTCAGGTTCCTCCGTCTAGTCCGGTCGCTGCGTCGTGCTCCTGTCGGTCGCTTGCCCACCCCACCGTTTTGTGGCACCACCGGTTGGGGCACCCTTCTCCTCCTCGTCTTCGCGCTATGTCTCGTCAGCGTCTTGTCTTAGGTCTCCCGCGTGTCTTGCCGTCGCTGCCGCCGTCCCTTGCACCACCGTGCGGTCCTTGCGTCGAGGGTAGGCTGCGCGCCACCCCTCACTCCTCCTCCCTTCGTCCGGCCACCGAGCCTTTTGAGACGCTGCACTTGGACGTCTGGGGCCCCTCTCCTCGCCCTGGCCCTGAGCGTGAGCGTTTCTTTTTGGTGGTCGTTGACGACTACTCCCGCTACACCACAGTGTTCCCCCTGGCGAGGAAGTCTGAGGTGACTTCTACGCTGATCAGGTGGTTGCTTACCACCCAGGACACTCGTGGTCGTCGTGTCAGCTGTCTCCACTCCGACCGCGGGGGCGAGTTTCGCTCCGGCATTCTCGCTGGATTCTGTCGCGAACAGGGCATTCGTCAGTCCTGGACGCTTCCGGAGTCCCCACAGCAGAATGGGGTTGCTGAGCGTCGCATAGGCCTGGTCATGGAGATTGCCCGCACCTCCTTGACTCACGCCCGTGCCCCCCATTTCCTGTGGACATACGCGGTCAGGTACGCCGCGCACCAGCTGAACCTCTGGCCACGCGTCTCTCGGCCGGAGGCTTCACCGACCAGTCTTTGGACAGGGTCCCCTGGTGTCGCGTCGAGGTTTCGTGTCTGGGGGTGCTTGGCTCTTGTCCGCGACACCTCCGCGGACAAGCTCTCGCCTCGCGCCGTTCCTTGTGTCTTCCTTGGTTTCCCTGAGGACTCCTCTGACTTCACCTTTTACCACCCTCCCTCTCACCGGTTCTTTGACTCCCGTGACGTCCGTTTCGAGGAGTCCACCCCCTACTACGTCAGGTACCCCAGTCGAGGTCTCCCGGTCCCTCCCCCCCCTCTCTTCCTGACCGCCGCTCCCCCGCCTGCTCCCCCGGTACAGCCTCCCCCCCCTGGTCCAGCCCCGTCTGGTGTGTCTCAGGCTAGCCCTCCCCCTTCGGTAGCCCCCCCTGTACAGCCTCCCTCCCCACAGTCTTCCTCGCCGCCTCCTGCAGGTGCTCCCTCTCGGGAGGTTGGTCCTGCGACTGTCCCTGTACAGGTCTCTGGTTCTGGGGGTGCTGGAGTTGGAGCTGAGCCGCGGGTTGCAGAGGACTCTTGTCTTCCGGGGGCTGGTACTGGTCGTGCGGAGTCTGGGGGTGCTGG